TACCAGGTACCCTTTCTGATCCAGAAATCTTCCATGATGACAATCGTCTGCAAAATGAGGCGAGCAAACGTATGCTGTTTCGGGTACAGCTGATAAACCCAAGGCTTTCAGCCATTTTGATTTTGCTTCCTCTTCTGGGGAAAATACATGAAATGAATGTTTCTCAGCTCTACTTATCTGATTCGTTGTGCTACTAGATGGAAGAATGCACCTTTTCCCACTGCTTCTGTTCATAGTAAAGCGGAAACCAAGCAAATAAGGGTGTCGTAGATCAGAAAGAGTATGAAGGTATCAGGTATCAGGGTATGAGAAAACTGTCTATAGGAGAAACCAAGATCGAGTATTTCCACAGGCCTATGGTGCAGGCAAACTAGCCGCTGAAGGTATGGAAGCACAAGGCTACCAGCATCCTTCCTTGGCAGTTGGAGTCAGAGTGAGGGAGGATGCCTGTGAAGTTTCCTTTTATACACACCGTTGTGACGTCATTGGGAAGCTCCCGCCCACTGCACGCATTATTCATGAGCTTCGGTCGAGCAGGGCCTGGGAATTTCGCTCAGTGGGGATGTAGTAGCAGGTGGTGCTGTTATGGGGATCTCCTTCAGGCACTCGTTGGCTCCGTCCAGATTGCAGTTCTCCATTTGCAGGGTATGGCAGACTATAGTTATCATTGAATGGTAGCGTAGGATGATGAAGAGAGTCCCAGTAGACTGCATTCTCATAGGATGCCTCCTCAGTCAGTGGTGCATTCCATGCATAATGAAGATGAATGTCCCCATAAGCAAAGATCGGCAGAGGTGGGTTACCTTGGATTGCAGGTGTTGCTTCGAAACACTGAGGAGCATTGAGAGCGAGATGTGGGAAAAGCTGATTCAAAGAGTGGGAAACTTGCAAAGTCAGGTTGTAGATACCTGGCAGATTCAGGTGATCCATGGTGGAATTCCATCCTTATCCTCCATTCCTCCTCTTACCTCTTCCTCCTCTTACCTCTTCCTCCTCTTACCTCTTCCTCCTCTTACCTCTTCCTCCTTCCTCCTCTTACCTCTCCCTCTCCCTCTCCCTCTTCTCATGAGGTCATGCCGAAAAGTGAACCATCCCTCCTCCATCCTCCGGGACAGTTTTCTGGAGACTTGGACAGGAGCGCCTCGTGAGACCGATTTGTTAAAGAATTCGAATGTCTTCCTCTGTGATGTTTGCGTGGAAAAATATCGGGCATCTCGGGTATTGGAGATGATTCCAGCTGTATGAGGTACTGACAATCCATAGCGAGTACTTTGGCGTCATCTAGCGTCGATTGTGTGAAACTTCTTTTGTTTCTAGCCACTATCAGATGGATAGCACAGTCATGCTCAAGAAAAGCGCATCTTTAATGTTCAACGAACTTCCGTCAACAACGTCATGTGTTGATGATGAAACGGCATCTTCATTGAGCGTCCAAAAGCTGCTCGTCCCTGAACCTTGAACGTGAATAAACCTCTTTGTACCGGGGTTGAGCGTCCTCCTCAACGTTTTTTGTGCTACTTGGGTTCACGCAACTGACGACAGACGACGGCAAAGGAGCGAGTCAATAGCTGATACAGATAAAGTTAGTACCAAATACATTCCCCGCGGTGCCCGATCTTTCCACTGCGGAAGACATATGTGAATTGTTCAACAAGTCGGTCTTACGAGCGAACCCAGTCCAAGGAGTCTCCAGAAAACTGTTATGGAGGAAATATGTTCCTATTCCAAGGTGATTTCATGGGGGAGGAAATGAAGGGAATTGATCTAGGTCATCGCTTCTCAAAAAAGGCGACTCTAGAGTACTGCTTCTCAGACTCCTGTGAAAATAGATGGAGTTGCAATCATAGAACAGAGAATGTAACTATAGGCGACACTCCGCATGAAACCCATTCAATGACAAGTTTGCAATTCAGATGTCTCTGTCGATCCTCCACTCAGCATGCGCACAACTCCTCCATGGTCAAGCAGCGGATACACGTATTACGTTGAGTTACTTTCATTGGGTCGAATCCTCCATTGAGTCGATTCCCGATTCCGTTGCCACGGAGCACGCTTCACGGAGGTATTGTTGATAACAAGCCACCAGATGTCTGTGTGGTATTTCAAAGCTCTCCCTCGGAAGAGGTTCAAAACTCGGGAGGTTAAGCCCTGCCCATCGGAGCGTCGCCTCTAGTTACACTCTACTCTGTGGTTACGATGGAGCATCTTCCATCCTCTAACTCTCTCTTCGCACGGATCTAAGGCGCAGAGAAGGAACTGGTCGTCAGATATGTATATCAGATATTGTTCTGCGCCTGAGCAAGGAATCCCCATCGCACACATTAATGTTTAAACCATCATTCTAAATTTATTAAAAATAGTACTTCAAATTAGAATAATTGGTTACCTGATTGCCTATGACCCCTGTCGCGGGAGATGAGCTTTGGTTGCATTGGAGAAGGGTTGCATTCCTACCAAGCAAAGCTTGGTAGGAATGCAACCCTTCGATGTCGTTTGGGAGTATTTAATTCACGTCCTAAATGAACGTTCAGGGAACGCATAACTTGAACTGTCTTCGATCGCTCTAAATTTACCTTAAAACTCGTAAGTTATCTTGCAAGGGTTCCTGCAAGTATCTTGCGGCCGTTTTGGACTTCATTTTGCAATAAACTTGTATCCAATTTGCAAGGCAACGGTGTACTCAATGTCGGTGTTCTCTCAGGATAACGGACCGAGCACATCGTTTGCAGTTTTCGATGCCTCGAGACTATCCATGAAATTCAGAAACTCCAAAATTGCAAGTAGTAGGCGTGTGTGAAGGAACCATCTAACCGCCTGTTTGGACGAAACTTGATCGCTCGGGAGCAGTCCCCCACTCCCTCAGGATTGACTCGGAGTAGGGCTTAGAGAGCTGAGGAGATAGGAGCGAAAGTTATCCTAACTCCCGAAAGGCCCCTCCTCCTTCACCAGCCTTACGTTCGCACCAAAGTGAGTCAGGCCTGTTAAGTACTTATTATCGAAAACGTACTATGTGTAATTTTAAAATGTTTCATCATTTCCTGTGCGTTCTTGGAAAAACGAAAAATTTCAAAATATTTTCTCTCATAAAACTAATCTCTATCAAGTTTCCTAACACTTACCTTCAAGGTGCTTACTATGACAGATTTCCTTTCTTTCACAACATTTGTTGGAAATCATTTCTCTTGTTTTCAGAACCTTGTTCTTAAGCAACCAAACCGAACAAGCCGAACAAATCGAATTTGAAAGAGGAAGATTGTGATGGAAAAGCGTTCAGGGCATCAGACAGAAACTTATGCGACTTTTAAGATACTTCTACGTCCTCCGTATGATAGGTTGGGCTTTTTTTGTTATTCAATCAACATTCTGTGTCCCAACTTGGCGTTGACATCCCATTTGGCAAAGATTCACAGTCCATTCTTGATCATGCGGTGCTCGCTTAGTCTTTCCGATCATTTTAAATGCCCCATGGTTCTGGATCCAAGAAGTTGCATTTGAAGGATCAGAATTCCAGGAGCAACCGATGAAAAATGCGACCTTTTCGTTCGTGACTGAACTAGAACACTCCCTTCCAAACCCAGACATGGATTCGGAGTTTGGAGATGGGGAAAGGACAGGTTGTAGCTGTCGATCAACCGTCTCAAACGAGGGTCGGAAACATGGTTTTCCAAATACATTGTCAAATAAAAAGGTTAATGAAAGTCCGGAGACGATAAACTTCGGACAGCGGCCTCATCGAATGGAGTTTCGGTACTCGTTCGCCCCCTACAGCATCATGGCACTCCATCACCATGCACAGGCGCGGAAAGATAGATGGTAACATGCGCTGATGGAGTCGCTTATAATAGTATACTTCTGCTCGTTTTAGCGTGAGAAATCGTAGCACATCCTGTGCAAACTATGCTGGCGGCAACCATCCCATGCGCGCGACTCCTCTCATTCGAACCATTTGTTTCCTTGCATTTTTTTTTCGAGTCACTAACCCCGTTAAAAATCGTTGCAGTCACCGATACTCTAATTACCTCCCGTGATGAAGCATAATATTCCTGGTAGTGCCACTATAAAGACATGATCGTGCTGCGCATATTATAGATGCTATTAGAGAAACGGGTGGTTCGAACTCACAAGAACGAGCCTCGACCTCCCAACACGAAATGACAAGGGCCTGCGGGACTCGTGATGAATTCCCGTTCTCAGCAACATACAGTGATTGGGGCAGCAGGCTTCATGGTCGAGGCTCCCTCGACTCTTCTCTTGACTTGAAAATCCCTCCTTCAGCATGAATATTACTTCCCATATTTTCCATTAGTATTTCCCGGGAGAAGGTATCTCAGCAAACTTTCCTCAGCTTGCTTGAGAGTGATGTCGGTATTGAAGGCGTTAAGCCGGGATGCTCTTCTTCGTTGATGATCAGTATCACATTGTTAAACCTAGCAATTAGTTACTTTTATCGTACTTAGAAAGGAGGTGGTGTCGGCTTCACTGACTGAGTTCAAGCGTAATTCCAATTACGTTAGTTGAGACTCTTCGGACCACCTGTCATGTTCATGAAGCAGATGAAGCCAACAAGCAGGTTTAAGCTTGTGATGATGCCACATTAGATGCTACCAAGCAAGAAAATACTCAGGTAACAAATAGTACCCAAACTGTTTATTGACCGAACAGAATGGGGAATAAAGTGAACTGGTACAGAAATCACAGTGCTTAGGAAGTCCGCAGAATGTGCTACACTCCCAGAGTGAAGCCCCCCCCCCCCCATGCCCAAAGTCTTATCACATGGCACAAATACATTTATGCAGCATAATGACCCCACCTATTGGCAAAAGATTTCCAATGAAATTTGGAAGAATAACAGATATTATAACAGCATTATTATCAGCAAAATAGCATTGATTTTTCGGTTGATGAGCTCTCGCTGACTCTTTTTAAACAGGTTGACTTTGTGGACCTACACTTTACAGGTGTTGGTGGGTAAAAGTAACGACGTAAGGGTTAAGGTAGAGTTACCTAAGGAGTGGTAGTCTGAAGTTCAAGAGGAGGTCATCTGTTCCATCTGTCTCTCCTCTTGTGGTGGCCACATCAGCTCCAGCAGATTCAATCTGCCAGCAGAACCATTCAAACAAGGAATGAAAACGTGAATAATGGTTGTGAGTGCAGTTCATACTTTGGTGCTCAGAAGTAAACAAGAGTTTTAAAAAATGATACATGAAATAATTATATATATCTATTTTTTAGTAACAAGTGTTTTAGTTACATGCATGTCATGATTGGTCATGATTCAGCTTAATAAGAAATAATTTTAGTATGTGCATTTTAAAATAGCTGGGGAATGATGTGAGTGAGGGTCAACAGTATTTGATTGAGATTTGGTGAAAAATAAGGAGGATTTAGTAATATTGAGGAAACATTGGAAACATGGATATCATCATGGAAATGAGACACAACATTCAATTCAAATATTCCTTATCACAGAAATTCTTCTCATCTACTCCTATAACATGTATTTTCAGTAGAGCATGGAAACAGTGCACACAAGGATATTTGACCTCATCGGGAAATACTGCACCTGTCATAGAATTTATTGGAGCCAACTGCACAGGACCCAATTGATGAACTATTCAATACTTCTGTCAGTATGATGCAACCATCCATTGAAATAAAGGAACACTAGTTTGAAACTCTATCACATCAGTGAGGATCAGTAAGGATTTGGCATGTATAATTTCACCTAATCCCTGCAACCAGAACTCAATATTAGCAGAATATGTACCATTCTTCTCAGGCACACAAGCACGATTTGCCAATAAATGTGGAGAAATGTCATGGCTAAACCAATTGAACTGTTGGGAATTACCCTTTCTCTTCAGCAGGTTAAGGGCCAGGTAGGAAGAGAGTCAATTGATCTGACTCAGGCATATGTTGAAGTCATGAGTAGCAAGAATTTCATATTTGAATGGGCCAATTCTGCCTGAACCACCTGTAGGCATTAAGTCCTGAATATAGGAGCTTTAGATCTTGATACATCTTAACCCTTTTCCTGGAGTGGGCATAATATCACATCAGCATTCTCGAAATGTTTGGATTTCCCTCCCTGGGAAAGGCTTGATGGGGCATGTTGAAAATGAGGGGCTTGCCATTTTGTTATACAAGGTATGTTGCAAAAGTTCCAGATCTGATGTCATGAAAAAAGGAAGATACTTACAAACTAATGGCACTTTTCCCCTTCAATGTAATCTCCCTCTGCATCAATCCACTGATGCCAGCTTTGCTGAAGGTTGTTGAAGCAAGTTTAGAAGTCATCTTCAAGAATATTGTTCAAGAACTATTCATGAACTCTATCCCAGATGCTTGAATGTGTGGAATCTTCGCATAGCAATGGCCTTTCATGGCTTTTGAGTCATGGAAACAGAAAAAGTCTGGTGGTGACAAATCGAATGAATACAGTACATGAGGCAAGACAGTGACTTGTTTTTATGTCAAAAACTGTCAAAACCCAAAACCAAAGCAGCCCATCCCCTGACTAAAACTCAAAAAGGTTGCAAGCAGACATCAACAGGGAAGCATGCTGTCCATGCCTTCGCAGGAATGAACATGTCAGAACTTGTATGGAAGTTGAGGATTCTACTTCACACAGACATAAGAGGAATCACATGAATAGCTCCCGATTTTTTAAATGAAATTCAGTCCTGGAACTTTTGCAACATACCTTGTATAAGTACAGCCATATCTCATTTTTCTGAGATGCAGGCCTAAGTATTTGTGGGATAATCATGTCAAAGAGTAATCATAATCACTTTCTGACCTAATCACAATCAATGGGACAATTTCCCCATGTTAACATGTCTCATGCAGACTTCACCAGAGATGAATGGAATACAGCATAAATTTGTGATAGAGTGCTTCGGTAATATTTGACTTAACAAGTAAAGCCAGCTGGCCTCCCCCTCCCTAAAGCAACAGGAATAAGCACTATAAAGGACAATTTTTTAAAGCCTACCTTTTTGAGTTCCTCATAATCCTTGCTCTTGAAGGGGTTGTGATTTATCTGGGCGAGGTTCACGGATGCTTGTTTCCCACTCTCCATGAGGATCTTCTTCACATTAACATACCTGAAGGGAGAGAAGGTGACCAGGGCAGGCCAACCACTCACAAACAGGCTCTCACCCCTCACAAAATCGGCCATTGCATCATACATGGTTGTGTAGAGCAGGTTGGCATGCCTAGGAAGAAAACCATCCATAGGTAACAATCAGAAATAGCTTTTAATTATTGATTTTTCTTATGAAAATAAATAAAATATTTGATTTTTCATAATCAAACCTATGTTTACTTGCAATTTCTACTTCCATCACCTCAATACAATTCTGACTGCCTAAACACACTTTGTGTCTCTTGTATGCAATGCACAGGGCATGCAATTCTGCTAGATATATAAAATTGTGAAGTTTTCCTGAGATTCCAATAATCTAACCCCATACTTGATAGCCAATATGGAGAAAGCAATTCTCAAATCTAGGGATATGAATAGAAAAATTAAATTGAGAAAACATGATTTTCATTTCTTTAAGTACTTCTGCCCTGAAACGATATCCAATATTTCAGACCACTTAATTTCCTTTATTGTACATATATTCTCCCACATTCAAAGGCAAAGTAACACTCATGTTCACATGTATCTACAAGGACCCACTGATAAAGAGAAAGCACACCAACATGTGAATATTTTTCCTTCACATAAAAATTGTGTACCACACCATATAAATGTGGATGCACTCAGACAAAAATGCAAATACTTTCAGATGCAAATGGGCATTCACGCAAAGGCATACATTGAAGTATGTGGAAACAGAGCATAAAAACACAGTATGAAATGGCCTTTATATTTTCCCATGATAAAAATTGTAAAAAAAATTACTTATTCGAAAACTTAAGATAATTACATAAGCCATAAATAATTAGGCCTACTTGGCAACTGCAAACCAATGGTAACACAATAGGCACTAGCAGTTACATTCCTTCAATGACACCACCATTCAAACTCAAAGTCAGAGGGAGAAATTTACTGTTCCTACTTATGTGCTGTCGGCATTCAGAGTAAATACTTCCACATGACCCAATTGAACTCACTTCCTTAGCCCCAACACCATGATCCTCATGGTTTAGACATTCTTAGGTACCATGACCTTGAGTACTGGAGAGAGAAGCTTCATTGCTAGAGAGGCCATCAACTAAAGTCTCTTATTGTAATTATTGTACTGATTTTACATGCATGAGAATTGAGAGCAATGTAGGGGATTCAGAAGAAGGAATATTTTCCTTTCTGATTATCCTACAAGAAAGTCCTTAACTTCGTTGTAGATAGGATGTCAGATAGAGTACTAGTGAATAGATTCATCGACTTGGTTCCTGCTGAATGTACCTGGGTAGCTGTAGCTGCTTGCGAAATTTCACAGCTTCTGGGAATAGGGTTTTCAAATTTGACCTGGTCACATCTTCCGGTAAGTTGGACACTTGCAACCTGGAATGGCATCATTGATAATGTATATGCTTCAAATTGATGGAAATGCAAAGCATCATGACCACTAGGGCTTGGAGTATTATGCAAGGAAGTCCTGGAAATGAGCACTACACAATGGCAATTGCATATTACATATTAGTTTTAGTAAAAAGAAGAAAAAACTTCTTGAGATGAGTGGACAGACATAAGCCAAGGACATCAAGCATGCTAGCAGGAAAATGAGTGAAAGAAAAATTACTCCTAACAGGCCATAAAGGAATACGAACAAGAAATAATAGGCTTTCAAGAAGTAATATGAATTGGAACTGTTAACAACAGCATGAAAAGTCATTTTTATTGGGATACATTTCTCAAGCAATGGGCAGAAAAAGGCTGCTGATAACAAGAAAAATATATATTAGAAGCCTAGTAATGTACAAGGTACATGAAAAGGCCAAACATACCTTTTCTTTCATCACAGCATGGTTCTTTGGATTCTTTTTGTAGAAGCATTTTGCAATGAAAACTTCTGCAGATGAGTTATCTTAATTAATACGGTGTCTGAAATGGTTGTTGCAATCAAAAATGACTTGAAATCATCCTTCAACTGGAGTGAATGTCTGTTAACTCCTGATCATAGAAAAGAAACTCACTGATATGGATCCATCCTGTGAGACCGAGGTGGGGTGATTGTATTGTTCATCTTCTGCACCTTGACCTCCCTAGAAGCTATGAAAGGCAAGTCTTCCCTACTCAAGATCTCTGCCACATCCTCCTCCGACTTGAAGATCAGTCTCACCATTGTGCAATTTTTTGGACTACTCAGATGGATCAAATAGTCGTTACTGTCTCGGCACGATCAAACGATCGAATCAAAATCTGGGCACTGGAGAAAACTCACGGTCTGAGGTCATCGATGCAAGTGTTGACAAGGAACTCTAGGTCTGGAAAGGCAGCCTTCACATCATCAACATTAACAGGTGCTGACCCTTCAATGCTACAGGGAAATAATATTTCTGCTAATACCTCATCTCTACATAAAGAATGCAATGTCAGCTTACACTACCCAAACCTAAATCATATCATAACCAACAACTCAATGGCAAAGCAACAAAAAGAAAGAGATATCATGGCATGGTATGTAGGGAATTCCAATTTCCATCTCCCTCCCCATTTAGCAGATTGGGATATCTTCTTGCACTATGACAATATACATAACATTGGTGAACCTTCAGGGATGGACTTAGCATTCTTGTGTTTCTCTATTTGAAATTTCATTATTTGAAATATATGGATTCAATACTTCTACATAAGTCTTCATTTGATCAAGGCAAAGATGATGTTCAGGACCGACTCACACGAGCGTGACCGTCTTGCTAGCGTACTTGGCCTCACGGTTCAGATTGAGGAAGTGGAGCATGAGGAAGCCATTCTCTCGGAAGAGTTGCAATACCCCACCTTCACTCGAGGATGCCTGATGCTTCTGCACGTGTTGTGGTGACTCCTGCTCGTGCTGGCCCTGTGACTGCTGGGGTCCATTTGAAGCATGAGAACCAGCAGAAGGGCTTGGCAGTTCCAAATCTGTCTCTGCACTCTGTAATCAAAATTAATGCAATTGTCCATGTTGCACATTAGCTCAGAGAGAAAAATGTAGGTTTCAAACACACCTTCCTAATGGAGAACTGTTTGGAATCTTTCACATCATCTGGATGTGCTTCCGATAACCTATCGTCATCGTATCGGATGCGGGACTTCCTGTTTGTGGCACCTGGCAGAAAGAGAGGGTTAAAATCAACCTCACTCAAGGTGACAGATAATGAACCCCTCCACCAATGATGATGTCATCTTTATGATTATGGTTTCCCTGTACAAATATTAAACACTACAAGTCAATAATTCACTCATGCATGCACAAGGAATACTATGTGGGCTATCAAAGGCAGCCTTTCTAATATGCAAGCCAGTAATGGGAAGTAGATTTTAATTTGACTTCAGAGATTGCTGCATATCAGGCTAGACAAGAATAAATGACATGAAGTGCAGAAGCAGATCACATTATCAAATTCTTGTTTTGTGACAAAAGCAGAAAAATTACAGCTTTTTAGAGAGTTACATTAATTAATTTCTGAGAATTGCTTTGTGTTCCAAGCTGGAGGGCATAAAAGCTAATACATTCATTATTGTCATACAATGTAATAACAATAGCTCTTGTTTTCTTGTCCTATATGTTCCAGGAATAATTCAGGCCTAAATACCACTTATTGTGAAAACCCTTCCTTCTGCCAATTTTGTCCGACTGATACCTTTAATCTGCTTAATTGCAAGATAATGATAAATCCACTCTTTGGCCTATATATCAGCAACTTGGAATTAAGCAGGTTATACAAGAAAACTAGAAGTATATACCACACAATGACAAAGCCTGCTATATCATGCTATATGCCTCCACTTTGCCTTGGAGGTCTCACAGCAGTCCTGAAAGTAGTTTATCATTCCTGAGGCCCAGGGCCGGATTAAGGGGGGGGCAAAGGGGGCAGTTGCCCCGGGCCCCACTCTTCCAGGGGGCCCCTGAAGGAAATTAAAAGCGTTAAGTTAAAAAAAAGTATTGTATTTGTGTAAAGTAACGGGGGGGGGGGGACAGGAATTCACTTGCCCCGGGCCTCGCAACTTCTTAATCCGGCCCTGCTGAGGCCTATAAGCCATCTAAAATTCCTAAAAACCTACAGGCTGAGGAGAATTATACGAGTATCATCCTGGCAGCCAAAGCCTAGGTGCTCATATGACCAAAAATGCATAATGTGATTAGCAAATGAATTTTGTTTGATTTACAACATTAAGCATGACATTTCCATGTTTCAAGCAGCAAGATATGGGAATGTATTTCATGAAAGGAAACTATCATTAGGCTAGGAATCTCCAGCCAATAGGGGTGTCAATTCACTTCCAACGCAGGCTTAGTCCCTTCATGCCACCTCTAACGTTAGATGAGCATCCTCCTGAACAAGTGAACAGAGTCTTCAGCGAGACGTCATTCAGACCTTTGACGAGACCTGGAAGATCGGATGGATTTATGTTCGTCTTGAGGCGGAAGTCTTTCCTCTTGTGATGAGGTCGGACCTTCCCTTTCCCCCTCAGCCTCCAACTCTTCCCTTCGGTTCCCCTCATGGCATCGGAGGTTCTTCGACGAGTACCTAGGCCCACGGAAAAACATGGATATCATTTCTACCTCCAGACTCCGGCCTACGAATATGCCTCGAGTTCGAGCAAGTCCTAGCCCATCGACAATCCCTCTCACGATGAAGGCGAAGAAACAAGCACGGTACACCGGCCGGTCACTACAGCGGCAGCGGCCATCCTGACTTCCTCAATCGAAGCGGGCTCGTGACTTGCACTCTTGCCTCGATCTGCCCCGCACAGGAAACAGGGGAGAGTTATTTGGAGAAAGCCTAGAGGGCGCTCCAGAGAAGTAGATCTTGTGCTTATAGTACAGGGATCCCCAACATGGGGATAGACGAACCGATCAACAATCCAAAGGATACACTGTTTTCATGGACCCTCCCCCTTATTGGGGCGCTTCCATCGTATGTAGAGCGTGGGTGGTCATGTCTATCACCTGACGAAGCGGATTCTCTGGAGGTTGTTTTTTTTTTCTTTCCTTTTATGGGGTGAGGGAGGGAGGGAGGGGAGGAAGGACGAATCCAGTCCAAAAACAGCATATATTTATGTTTTTGTGCTGTCGTCATTTAAGTGTTGCACTGTTGCCAATATCGCTTGTTCCCACCGTTTCCGCGTCTCATCTACGGATCGCCTTCGTTTCTCCCATTTGCTTCGTCATCATCGCGGAGTATAGTTGTAAACATTAATCGATGATTGATAGTTTGTTCATCTCGGCCTGCGCGTTCAGATCCTTCGCCCCTTCGTTTACCGAAGGTCACTGGACGGCCTGACTCTGATTCGCCCGTCACGCCTGCCCAATCTCGATGACCTCGATGACCTGTCTCGATGAGGCTTATAACCGGCCTCATCGAGACGGGTCCTTTTTCTCGATTCTCGTATCAAAGCCGGGCGGTAACTGCACTCCTGCACGGCCCACCGAGTACAAAGTGGTGATAGGCCCCGAATCGCGACACGACAAGAACCCGAGATCGAGAAGATGATCCATCTCCCCCGATGTCTTTCGTCGTAGGATGTTCCTCGCATGCCATCTCACGCGTTTCCTTTCCACGAGTCTGTATCGTGTCGGCGTCAGCTCATTACGCAGCCCTCCTTCTGCATTCCGAGGGAGCACTCCTGTTTGGAACTTCAACTACATTTTTGTCGTTTTCGATGAGTGATCCCACCGAATCACGAACTCGCGAGTGAGAAGCGTAAGTCTTGTGTAAAGTTTAACAGGCACGCAGGCAGAATACAGAGTATTTCCAAGGAGAGCAGGTCGACTCAAACATGACGGAGCCGTGACGGTCGTGCCCATTAACTAATTTTTTATTACTCACATTCGACTAGCTATTGTAACAACCTTCAGTAATAATAGTAGTAATAGCCTTACCTTATAACTCGTTCCCGTGTCGATATCGTCGAGAGCGCAGATGCCTCTGGACCTGTATTACTTCCTGCCGAGTCCCCCGTGCCGCGCCGTCCTCTTGGCGGGCAAGGCCGTCGGCGTCCGGCTGAACCTCCTGGAAGTCTGCCTCCTCACCGGCGACAAGACTCCCGAGTTCCGCGAGGTGCGCAGAGTTCGTCTGGGGTCTCGGGCGGCAGCGCCCAGGTTTTCCATTCTCAGCCGAGAAGTTGTCGCGGCTGAACCCGATTCTCTCTCTCCGGCAGGTGAATCCCTTGCAGACCGTCCCCACCCTCAACGACGATGGATTCATTCTCTACGAAAGGTAATTGCAAAAAATCCACTAAGGGGAATTGCTTCGCTTACCACTTTTTTTTTCACCCCATCGAGTTTCACCAATAGCGATCGGCACAAATAGCCAAAAACATGCATTTATGCGACTTGGCAGCCGACGAATAGGACCCCAATACAAACCATTCGCGATGCTGGGCAGGGGCGAGAAGGACAGGGAATTTTCATTTATAAGACATTAAGAAATTTCGTGAACAGCCTGACAGAGAGAATCACTAGGGCCGAGAAAAATGGGTTAAAGGAGTAAAACGATTAATGCCAGCGCTTGAAAATTTCGCTTGAAAGGAACATGATTGAATACACAGCCATGATGGCGTCGACAGCTAATTAATTTTTTCAAATGGAAATCAGACTTCTCTTGATCATGAATGAGTCCGGTTTGAGCGCATGAGTGATGCCGAGTGTAGTGCATTTATTTCTCAATGAAGCCTAACAAACAGAACACCCCAAATAATAATTGATGCTGATTGCGTGCATATTTTTTTTTCTCATCATAACGTCAATATAAACACATTCCTCGCGGGAGTGAAGCCTGTTAAGTCTGTGGAATAGATGAGAAAAAAAAAATCGGAAAGACATTCATCCCCGCCATCCATCGCGCTCGAAGAAGGTGTGAGAATCGAAACAGCTCCGCCCCAACACGTCAGAGACAGACAAATGGATTTGGGAGGAAGGGGGAGGGGAGGGGGTGGTTGCAGGGGGAGGGGAGGGGGTGGTTGCAGGGGGAGGGCATGGGCGTCCTCATGGAAACGATCCCTCTATTAAAAAATGACATGAGCAGGAAGGGAAAGAAGGTCTGGGGAAAGGGTTACCGAGCCACTGAACCTCCCCTTCTCCTAACCATCCACGCGTACAAGGGAAGGGAGGGTTGCCCAAAGGGAAATCGTAAGGGATGCCGTACAAAGGATGACGTGAGTTGCGATTACGGATGACTCACGGTCTCTCTGGATACGGTGTCGATCGTGAGAGAACGGGGAGGCGTTCGTACTGCACACTTTAAAGGACGCAATAATGTTGCGTTCCGTGACTTCCGTTGGTTCTGGGAATGATCGACTCCAGAAAACCTCAAATCCCATCATGACTCTTCCTTGTCCACGATTTCCTTCTTCATAAAATCGAATTCCTAATTGTGCAATGATCCTCGATGAAATGGAAAATGATTCGTCTTTCTCTCGGTCTGCCCCCTGCGCTTTGTTCATGGTCGTGGCAAAGTCGGGGCGAACGGAGAAGCGACTCCGAGCGAAGACGAAGGGCAGGCCAAACAATAAGGCTCCTTTACTAGATTAACTTTGCATCGTCGCTTTGTAGCCTAATGTGGAATATGGACTATTAATGGAGGCCTCACGCTGCTCTGCAAAAATGAGAACCCGCCGTGGACGTTTCCGGCCGACGGTCTTCGGCTCCGATGAGACTATTGCACTCAGTCGCTCTATGCACGCGTGCATGCCACCGACCACTTGCACCTCGGTCTCGCATCAACTTTTATCATGTTGTATCGATGATGATGACGATGATATGAGCCACCTTGGGAAGGTCACAGGCCCAGGAATTCGCTCGGTTAGCATGTCCGTGAACACGTGCGGCTCATGACGAAGGACAGCGTCGAGCCCGTCGTTCTTCTCGGGCCCACGCAGAACCGAGACGGAAATATTCAATATTTGAAACGGATCGCATCGCCGCCTGTGAACCAGGCCAGAGGATGCCTTGCAGAGTCCCGCACCGATAACGGCCACTCCATCCACGCGTCACGATCTCATTTTGCGAGCGAAACATTTAGAGATGAGGATTTGATCCCCATTAAGACGGTTCAAAAGGAAAGAAGCCACACGGCATCGCGGATCGTCATGAGATTCAATGCAGCTCAAAACTTCGAGTAATTTCTTTGCGCGTGATTTAGAAAGGAGGAGCTTGCCGTTGCGCTACCCTCAATGCAAGGCACAGCGTGACGGCCCGTGTCACCCGGCCGCCTAAATTCTGCAGTTGCTCGGAAGGCTCCAACGATTTCCCCTGCGAAAAATTGCTAAACCCCGAGATGCTGTTGGCTGCTTCGCAGAACGCAAAACGAACACTCCAAGTTCTCGCTTCCGGGTACTCCGAACGACTTCTATCGCTCCACAATTTACCTTTCGACTCGAAGCAAGTGCGAAGAAATTCCAAAGTTCCGTCGGGAATGATCTCCGATTTGAAAGCCATCCGCGAAGTCGTTCTTGGGGTATGCCACTATTATTGAAAGTGGTTTCTTCACGAACTCCATGTTCGTGACGAAATTGAATTGGGTCACCGATAGTAATCTACAGGGTGTCCCATGAGTCCGGCATCATAGGAAAAATACTAAAAAAAAAGGCAAAACAAAAGCTCTTATTCACTTTTGTTAAAGTGAGCAAGGAAAGCAGTCGCCGTATCGTCGTCAGTGGACCTCATCGAAGGTCCACTGCGTGGTTTATCTTATTTGGATCCTGTTTCCTTAAACTTTGCAGCAAGTCTGCTGACACAACTCTGTGCTATTGGCTCGCGGTCTGGATGCAATCTGTTAAATTCAGCAGCGGCCTCTCTTTCACTCCGATTTCCTATGGGTCGAATTATTTGGATTCGTTCTTCCTTGCTCGGAGACATTATGGCATGTAGAAATAGAAAAGTATGAATTATGGTTTGTAGAAATGTAAAAAAGATGACTTTTTTGTGATGACGGACTTATGGGACACCCTGTGCGGTAGTATCGCGTTGTGAAAAGTGTGCCTCTTCAAGTTTTGGAACGACTTTACGTCATGCAATTTTTTCACTTTTATATGAAAGCATCCCTCAATCTGTGGCTCTGAGATGAAGTCATAACCATCAATGGGATCAGGGTTTTCGTGCTGATACGTGCGAAATATTAAGCCATCTGACTAGTCGAATCGAGCGATATCCGCCATTTCGTGTAAAGTTTGCTTCGTTTCCTTCGCAGTTTTATTCTTATTTACTGTCCTGACTTGAGTTAAAGTCACTCGAGAAGTTTCTCCTTTTCTCCTTCCGTTGCCTGATTTCATCCATGGACCCTCTCGGACTCGACCAGCCGGGCAATCATGCGTTACCTGTTCAACGCGTACGGGAAGGACGATTCCCTGTACCCGACGGATCCGAGGGCTCGAGCCATCGTCGATCAACGCCTGGACTTCGACGCCGGGACTCTCATCGAGAAGTGGAGAGGATGCGTGGTTGGTCGTTTCATTTATGCGTTTTTCGATCCCGAGTGGCACACGAACGGGCAGCACGTTCAATCTCTGTTTAAAGAGGTTTTGAGACGTCCCATGTTCACAGATGAGCAGCTTTTTAGTGCCCTATCAAGTTGCGGTTCGATCGCCAATCCCTGACGCATTTGAACATTCGTGGAACGTTTCGTATAAAACGTTTTCTCTAAGCCATATCTGTGCTATTCATCTGACTGGCTCGAACAGAGATTCGCGCGACCGAAGCCAGATGGCGCCAAAGAAGCCGCTATATAGAGGGAATACCCGAAATACAGCTGGAATGAGTCCCCGATGCTTTCCAAACGGTGCCCGATCATTCCTCCTCAGAAACCAGATGGGACGACATTCGAAATGTTGAAGAAATCGGTCGGAAGAGGTAACCCAGCCTAATGAGTCTCTCGAAAACGCTGGCTTCAGAGGACGGAGCGAGGATCCTTCACCTTTCAAGGTTGCAAGGGTCGGTGCAAGGCAAGGTTTAGGGGGGGGGAGCTGCCATGGGTCAGCCTCTTATAGGTAATAGGCTGCCCGATATGTTCAGCGGCTCCCGCTCTTATCCTCCCCTCCGGCCAATGCCATCTGTTAAGAAAGTGGATGATCGGCCCCATACACGAGGTGAGAGAAGAGGCGAATTAACCCGAAATGGGCTTCGTTCACGCAGCGAACAGTCATGCTGGATCACATTGGCTTCAGTCTGGATCCCCCTTTCCTGGTTATCGGAAAGAACTCGCCCGGTGTGTGAAGTCCGTTATCGGATATCCGACTCTCACCCCTCGTGTAACCAATACTATTAATCCTGAATGAGACATTTTCGAACCCATTGGTACTGTTTGGGAATATTCCATTCACGTCCTTCATGAACGATCAAGGAGTGCATAAATTGAACTGTTATTGAACGCTCTAAAATTGGAACGTGCATCCGGTCGATAAAACATTTTCAGAAGGCGTTCAATGCATTTTGATAGTACCTTAAATGGGACGTTCGTTCAACATTGATCAAAATTTCCAGTACAACTTGGGATACTGCTGAGGTTCATCTGCATGATGTTCGTCAGCTTTGGAAAGACAAGCCTTCTCAAGGCGGTTTCTTCCTTCCCTCATCAGAGACCAGTGATCCACTGGAACGCGAAGTCCATCTCGGACGACGCCAAGAAGCAGCTGAAAGAGATCTTCCAGGTCCTCGATGGATTCATCGAGGCGTGCGGTGGCTACTGCGCCGGGGATCATCTCACCCTGGCCGATTTTTCCATCATTCCGATCGTCTCCGGCGCCGAGATGAGTCATAGACGCAGCGGGAAATTTCCCCGAATTTTGCTGGATTCAAATTCTTCATCGCGATGCGGAAAGGGACTCGAACTCGTTGACCTATCCGAGATGAAGCACCTGAGCGAATGGCTGGCCAGATGCAAGCAGGAAATGCCGGGCTACGAGGAAACCAACGGGAAGGGGACCGATGCCTTCGTTCAGATTGTTCGCAGCAAAATGGCTGTTTGATGTCTTCTTTTCCCCATGTCGAAGCGACGCTACTAAATAAAGTGGGCGCAGATGTGGTTTTCCACGTCCGCGCTTCAGAAATGGTTATTTATTTATTTATTTATTCCATCCCAATCAGTTGACATGGGGAGACTCTGTTTTGTGCTTTCCGCTGCCATTCGTGTGGAGGTGAACTCAAAGGAATCCAAAAAGTATGACGATCCATGTGCTGTATCGAAATAGATATTTAAGAAATGATTAAGTTAAGCCGAAGTCTTACCAGGAAAAGATCAACATACAACAACTCCAAAAGAATGAGCCGACAGTCGAATCCAAACCTCTGGAATTTGGACACCCGAAATGTTTCTGCACCGATTCCTTTTTAGTATCCACGGATTCTAAAAACTTTTCCTGGGACAAAACTTGATCCGACGTTCCGGTTTCTTTATTTTAGTGCTAAACTAACAAGTTTCAATTAAGGTTGTAATATTTCAATTAGGCATATGGTACCTGTTTGATTCTTATTTGGCCGACTCAGGCTTTTGTCCTACCTTCCTACGAAAAACATGATTTGGTCCATGCGAATTGTCATGGATACCATCTCCATGCCTTCTATGGTAATGTCCGCTTGGAAAAGAGGGGAATTATTCCTTAATCCCACTAGTTACTACTTGAGAATGGCAGTGTCAATGTGCTCCGGGGCGACCATCTTGAAAGTTTTTTTTCAGTTGACCCAAAATCCAACCTGTTCTAATAATAGGGACGAGTATCCAATAGACCAATGGGAATCTATGCCATTTAGAATCTATTTCTTTCGATCTGGAGAATGGCAGTGCGCATGCTCCGGACCGAAGGAAATTGGTGCCAAGTGGCAGGTATTCCCTTTGGTCGATATTTGTATGTTGGGGATTACTCTCTTGCTTTCTTCATCGGTAAGACTATTCCAGAATGATGGATCCATTTTATAGGCAGAGTCCTTCCTACTTCCTTTGTTGGAGTTCAGACAAACACAGGTATAATCTTTTAAGAGCACATATATAACAATTTATTGTCTGAGATCATACAAACAAAATGCATTCTTCAAACCAACAATTTAGGACACCTGAAAGCATTATTTACTGGAAAAGTGAGAAGCACCGAACTTCAATTAAAATCATCAAGTACTCAATACTGAGGCTTATTAAAGCATTTCATGCTGGAAACAGGATTTTCACCTCAAACTCAAACTCAATGAAAGGTATTACACTATATGATGCATACAGAATGAACAACAAAAAATGTATATGAGTCACACTGCAATATCTTGAAATTAAGTTCAAAATTCATAATTCATAATTCAAAATTCAAATAATTTAAAAAAAAATTGAGTCTCAATTTTTCAAAGGATGTATTTCCCCCATCACGTCGTCTGACTTTTGTCCCGGTTTCTCCCGAGATTTCCGATCATCGCGTTCTCTTTTCTCTCGTTCGCTGGTGAGTGATTTCTGAGCAATTCGATGATAGCGATTGAAATAAATGCTGCACTTGAATCGGGAAAGATCTCTGCACTTGGAAAGCTTTTATTATTTATTCCCCGATTCGAGTGCGGCACTTTATGGTATTTTTTCTTTTAGCCTAGCACTCCAGGGAGAAGTACTTCGATTGTCGTCTTTCGAGCCTTTACTTTCAGTACTTTCCTTTCCTTGAGCCGCAATGTGATTTCACTCTTATGGCTTTTCACCCGGTATGGATGTGCTTGACGGGCGAGACTCGTGTGATGGTATTTTTTTCATCACACCCGAACTCACCCCCGAAAGGAGGCCGGACGATCGAAAGAAGCCAATCTTCTTCATTCTTCGTCCTATTGAGTGAAGCCCCAATTTGAACCATGCCTCCACCACGATCGACAGGAGTCTCCATGGACTGCAAAACCTGCTTAAATACATGATTTGAGAGATTCGAGCGTCTTCCCTTACGTTCTCTGCGGGAAAAGATCAAGTATGGCATGAAAGGTACTGGGGTCTCAATGAATCACTCCCTGGTCAAGCCGAATTACATAGACGCCATCTGTGGAAAGCTCTGGTTCAAATAACCGAGATATGTCTCATCCAGAGTCATGAAAGATGTTAGCTGCAGTCCTGGCGTCGATGTGGGGCCTACATGGGCAGCCCGCTGGGTTGTGGACCCATGCTACCACACTCGCAGCCAACGTGGGCCCAACGTTGCGTGCTACATTGAGCCATGTCTCCTTCTTTGGATCTCGGTCATGTGCCGGTACCGGCACAAATTTTCCAGCGTTTCCCACTTCGATGCAAGCATTGCTGGCACTCCACTTTCGGAATCGCCATCAGCAGTCGTGTCGCGTCGGTGATGCTGCTTTTAATGTCCGGAAATCTCCTTTCGGCACACTCTTTAGCATTGGGAAGAAGAAATGACTGGGGGCAAAGCCCGGGCAAGCAGACAACGAAGCGGGGGGAGTGCCGGGTTTCTGCAAAATTGCGAAGAAGTGCCGAGTCTTGGCAGATGGGGGTAAGATTAGAAGGGCTAATTATGGCTCAAATTTCCTGCATCATCGTGAGAAAGAGGAGAAAAGTTGGTCGGAAAATCTCGTCATCCACTTTTCTCCCTCCGAAGAATATGAAAGTGGGAAAAAGGTCATGGACTCGGGTTGAACACGAAACGATGCCGTTTTAACCGATACCCGTCCATTGCGACTCGTGAAAATAATCCAGCATCATCGACGTGAGGAGGATCTCTGGACTGACCAAATCATAATTATGAACAGGTGTCTAGATGTAATGCACCATTATAGAAAACGCGCGTTTCGAAATTCGCTTTTATGGTGAGAGTATTTTTCCTGCAAATAAATCTGCATTATTGATAAAATTAAAGTGATTAAATCTACTCGGTACAAAATGCCATCCTGGAGAAGGAGTTCAGCTTTCCTCTCTTTACAGCGCGTTTCTTCGTAGTTTCCGGATCAGAATAATTCTTTCTTTTTTTTATCAATGACCTACAATTTTCCGAAGTCAATAGGATGCTTTGGAAATGTCAAATGTCAAATGGCTTTTACCGGGATAATATTACTTGTGACAGTGGCATGCGATCATTCCATGACAATTCGGTTTTTGTTTTTGTTGCTGGTTATACGCAACATTTTTAAGGAAAAAATATCGGCCATCTCAGGTGATGCGTAAGCTCATTTGAAAGCAATACTATAGGTCCTTACAGGAGCGAAAGTCTTGAGTCTCGAAACTGTCCTTGGTTGTGAATCCGGATGCAGAAAGCTCAGGGTGGCACTTCCTGATTCCTCGTTCTCCGTTGGCTCTGTTCCCCAAACGGAGTGGAGTGCTGGAAACGCAACTGCAAACATAAAAACATCTTCAAAGTAAAGTGCAAATGATACTGAATCTTTAAATGTTATGAGAGCCAAGACAAGAACAGGAAATAGTATGGTGTGACGTAACAAGCGATCAATATTAATTGGTCACCTGTCCCGCTCCAGATTCGAGGGTTAAGGCAGGTTCGCCAGACAGAAATTCTGGAGAAATGGAAACCCTCGTGATTTTTCCAAGTAAATTACTTAACTTTATTA